ATGACAATTTCAGAAGTTTTCAGAAATAAAAATACGTATTAATTGGAGGATACCCAATATAGTATCTTGAAAAAAGTATGATACATAATTAGCGAACACATATATTATTGTATGTTGATATAAATTACTTTGTTTAGGGTTGATATAGCCGCCTAAAAAGTCTGATATTTATTTAAAAATAATAAATACAAAATAATTGAAATTTCATATTTTAATGAATGAATAAATATTTTTTACCTTCAACCAGAGAATATAAAATAGCTAGTAGAAGCAAATTTTTCAACATATTAGATATTATTATGCAAAGATATTAATTATTAGAGAGAAGTTTAAGATATTTTTAAAAGATATACTAGTAAACTTTGACTTATATACATTTCAGAATTGTTGATTTAGGCAACTAATTTTTGCCTTGAAGTAAAATTTTCATAAAAAAATATCAATTTACACCTGCTCTCGAATATCTTCCATAATAAAAACAGGGTTTGCCTTGAAAAGCATGTTTTAACTACTTCTTTTTCACTTTTATTTGGAACTGATACGATTATATTTCAAATGGTTTTCAAGGTATGTATGAAAATAAAAAAAATATGGTAGTAATATAATATTTTTTACAGTTTTGTCAATTATATAAAAATATTTGGGGTTTTTAAACACATTTTTCAAGGTTTTCTAATTTATTTTTGAATACACAAATTATATTAAAAAATATAAAATAATATCTAGTTACAACTTATAAAAATGAAAAAAAAACGTTATTATAGTTTTATTAATTTTGTATTCAATGCTACAATCTGACTGACATAACCAAGTGATATTTGATTGGTGGATATAAATTTTTTCTAATGCGATCTTAAAAATTATGACCACCATTTTCAACGAAATTTTATATATTCTTTAGTGGCAACCATAAATGGCTCTAATATCAAATATTTTAAGTTTTAAAACAAGATTAGGTTTAGGCAGCTCATACAATTGGAGAAAGGGAGGGGGTTAGTATGAGGCAAATACTCCTTTCTAAAGGAGTCATGTACAATTAAATCGATCGCTTCAATTAGGATATTTTTTATCCTGTGATAATACCCCTCCTCCCAAGAGGTAAAATTATTACGCAAATACTGTCCACAAAATGTTCAAAAAAATATATACTTCTGTAACCAATTATTACACACCCCATTGTTCAGAATATGAAAAGCGACAATTAATTGATCATATCAAGATAAAGCAAATTTTTAATTTATTATTTTTATTGTAAAAAGACATTATTTAGCTTCTAAAGATGTTGATGATTCTGATATTTCAGATTGGAAAAATTACTCATTCATTTACCCTCTCGGTTTTTCTAACTTTTCCTCTCGAATTTATAAATCTCGTATAAAGTTAATTAAACCTAAACAACAAAGCTCTATTAAAGATAGTTATTAAACAATGAAAAATCTTATTTAGAATCACTTGTTAATAGATATTTTATGATAGCCAAATATATTATAATTTATTCAAATATTTTTACACTTATTATTTATTACATCGTAAAAGAATATAGAACCTACCAAAACTAATAAAAAACATAGCAAATATATAAAAATCAGAGCTATTAAATATCAAACAACGAATTTAAATAATAAACTGCATTTTTTTAAATAATAAATAGCAATAAAATAGAAAACCTAGAATTTCATAAATAAAACATATTATTCTAATAAAAAAAACAGGATATAAATTTTAAAAAAAAATTATTTAATGATAATATGCACTTAATGAAAATATAAATTTATTAATTGTAACATTTTGATAACATAATTATTTAACATTTTTTAAGGGAATAAATTAAAATTTAGAGTCTAAAAGAAGAAGAAATTCTAAAATTAATAAGCTCTTCCATTCGTTTAGATTATTATATCCAACTTCTCTGTTCCAATTGTTGTAATTCTTAGTATCTCAAATCTTTCTCTAATTAATCTATAAAGGTTTGTCAAAGACAAGACAATTATTGAAATTTAAGAAAAATATTTATGTGCTCCGCAATGGCAAGGCTTGAATATTGTTTTGTGATATTGATTCCTTTACTCTGTTTTGATTGTGCAACAGGTTTGATCTATATGTTTTATTACGAGAACATGTAACTTGGTAAACACCTATAGTTTGTTTATCTTCTTAGATATAATATTAATGTAGAAAAAGGATGATATATTATTATTCTGATTTTAATCACTTTATTTATATTTTGTAGGATATAAATTGTTCCATATTTCAAATTATCAATTTTTTACATCCAAATTTGATGCGGACATTTTGTCCGAGTGATTTGTCCAGTGACATTTTTTACCAAGAACATTTTGTCTAGGATATGTGTCTCAATAACATATAGTACCGAGAACATTATATCTTAAAGACCTTTTGTCAGTGGACAGTGTGTCTATGAAATTGTAACCATGACATAATTTGTCCATGGCATTATGACACACTATGTCTGTGACATTTTGCCTGCTGACAATTCTTTCGTTGTTTTATTTGCATAAACTATAAAAGTAATACAATTTTTAGTCAGAATTCTAAATTTATTCTAAAGATTAATGTTTTTATGCAATAAATATAACTTCCTATTATTTTTAAGTGTATATAATTAGGGGTGGGTGGGGAGGGGGCAAATTCTATAAATCGTGTTGCTTATTTTTTAAGGGGAAGGGGTTATATTTTTTATATCAGTGACGTAATCTAAAATAAATTCATAGAGCTTTACTCCAAGTTCCCTTTTGACCGATTGAGATATTTGTTTTAAATATTCACTTTTTTTATATTTTGGATAATAATTAGTTTGGCAATACCTTGAATACTTGTATCTAAGGTATAAAGATTTTTTTTATTTTGTACTCAGTATCTTTTTGACATTTTAATAATAAGATTTTATTTTCAAAAGAATCTATCTTTTTATTTTCTTGACAAAAGATACACTTTTTTTATATATTTTTTAATAATATTTAATAACCCCATATAGCATTATCTTTTCATAGATTTTTGTATTAATTCCATTGTTCTTTCTTTCCTATCATATTTTAAAAATATCGGTAAAATTTACAGCACAACAAAAAATAATTTAAAAATCTACAACTTAAATCAAGATAGATTAATAACAACGCCTAAATAAAATAAATATGCATACATTTTATATATTAAACTAACTGAATGGAATACCACCATTATATAATATTTTTTAATTTTTGGAATGATTAACACTCATGGTAGGAAAAAGGAAGGTACGAAAACTGAAATTATGGAAATAAATTCCTCAGAATCTAAAAAAAATAAGAGGTAACAGATTTAACATCTAATAATCAATAAAATATAGATTACTTTTCTTTTAGTGAAATAATTATTTCTGAGTTTAATAATACTAGTTACATTGAGCAAATAGCAGAAATACGTTAGAAACACTTAATTATTATCCTCCTTCCATTAAAAATTTTTTTTTAAATAGACTGTAACATCATCAACTCCATTTGAAAGTTTATTTAGTATTGGCACATACCTAGAAACAGTAGTCCCTGCAATTTCTGAGCGATGGAAGCAGAATACCCTCCTAAAAAGTACCCCCCCCCCCCCGAAAAAATTCTTGACACCTTTTTGGCAGTACAAATAAATATTTTTATAAAATTGATAAATTAGGGATTTTAAAGTAAGGTAAAATAAACGAAATTTTTACAGTTTGAATCATAAGTCTCAGAATCATCATCATCAGAAGAAGAAGCTAAAGAATGTATTAGTAAAAATATTTTAATTAAATAAATTTACAATTCTCATAATCTGAAAAATATTTAGATTCTTTAACCTCTAAATCACGTGTTATAATTACAACTCCCGCTTCACCCATTTTATAAATATTTCGAAACTTCAACATTTTTTCAAAAACTTGACTTGAATTTAAATTGTAAAATTTACATATATCCTCAATATCATCCTTAGCAAATGTCATTTCCGTCATTCCTTTAGTGTAAAAAATGATGATTGAAAAATTTTATCGATTCAATATTGAATCTTTCAGTAAACTGCGTAATGTCAAATCAAGTGCAGCGTAAGCTGGTATTATAAAATAAAATATTATATATAATAATGAAAGTATCACCTCTCCTTTTTGGATATACTTTAATACAAAACAATAATTTTAATTGTACTTCTCAAATTAATCAGACAATCTTTTGCCAATTGAATTTTATTTATTGCAAACCCTATATTCTTCGAAATTGTTTGCAATTTTGTGCAAGCTAAGCTTGTTATCAACAATATTTTATATAAAACACATGATAAAATAAAATTTTTATATTCTAAAAACAATAGCACTAGCCATGGTAGAAGTAGCTGAATCTTCAGAATCCTTTAAATTTTTCAAAGCTGCTCTCAAGGTATTTTAAAGTAAAAATTTTTTTACTATAGCTTTATATGATGATAGCCGACTTCTATAAATATATAATAAACATTTTAAGCAAATAAGATAATATTAGGTGAGGTTATCTTGATGAGAAAAGGTCTTTGTGAATCTCTTAACACCATTGAAATACACGTGAATTTTGTCTAAGATCCTTAAAACATTTCTTGGTTCTTTTATCAATTGGCATAGTTGAACAGATTAGATTTAAACGATGGCAATAGCACCAAATAAAAGCTGTCTTTGAGATCTTTTCTGGATTAGAGTAGAGAGAAAATTCATAGCCTAAACGATGGAAATGAAAATTTCTTATGTTGAATAGAAAAATATCATATTTGAATATTAAATTGGTATTATTAAATATTTAACACTTTATTTTGTTTAAATTACTATTCGCGAACTTATCTTTTGTAAAAATCTGAACCTATTATCTTAAATTTATCATTCAAATATATTTTTATACAATATATTGAGAAAGTTTATTCTGTAAAAAGCATCATAATATAAACAAAAGATTATAATGTAAACGAAAATTTAAAATAAATTAAAAATAAATTCTAAGCTAGCCTTCCGCTAAAGATACACAATTATAAAATAGTGACCAATATATACATTTATAAAACACATAAGAAATTAGTATAATATGTAGTTTTAATTTTATCTAAGATGATACAGTTTCAATTTGCATTATACATTTGATAAATTTATTTAAACGATCGCAGTAGAATTATTATCCTAAATGTAATAAAAAACATTTTCATGGTATTATCGACAATTTTCTATTTAAATTTTGATGAGTTTTATATAATTTAACATTTCCATCTATAATTCCATCTAAAACTTTTTCAAATTTTCGGGTTACGTCAGTCTAAAATATAAGAAAATTAATTTAAAATGTGTCTAAATAAAATGTTTAATTTTAAATTAAAACCATAATTTTATACATAACATAAATTACCATATATTTGGAGATAATTTTTGTTCAAAACATGTTATTTGAAAAATTATTTTATATAGTATATAACAATGAACAACCTTTTTAAAGTCAAAAAGAATTACCATCTATATAAAAGTCTCAATCTCCAAAATTTTAACAGTTATGAACTCTAATATTAGAGAAATTATGAAAAACATTAGAAAATATTATATTAAATAATCTCGTTTAAGAATAGTTAGAATAGAATATTATTTTTCAAATAATTGATTTAATAGGTTTGTTATTAAAACTTGCGGAAAAAATAGATGAAAAATGACATTCAAATGATATTAAGTATTTAATAATGCCATCTATAAATATATTAAAACAGCCTGATTATCTTGGTGTCTCATTATATATGACGTAGGGGTTTAGCAATTTAAGGGCTATGATACATTGACCAGGGGTTATATCAAATTTTTGAAACTCAAACATTCATTGCATATGCTTTTTATTTGAAAAACTTGCCAGATAAACACGCATAAAATTGTCCTTTAAAAAACATTTTCCCCATAAATATTTGTGCATTCTTTTATATTTTATATATAAAAATGTATATAATAAAGCAGTTTAAAGTCCAAGCCCAATTTCCTGAAATTCATTGATTATACTGCTATCCTTTAGCATCATTAAATGTGCTATACTGGCAAAATCAGGTTAAAAAATTAAAATACGTTTTTTTGAAATTTTTTTTTAAAACTTCAGATTTAATAAACCCCCATGATCATAAGCATAGCCAGAATTTAGTTAAGGAAAGGGGGGGGGGGGAGGTAAGGAGGACTTTTGTAATGAAATTATAGTCGTTATTTTAAAATTATCAACATTTTTTTTCTTATAAATTATTGTTTATAGTAACATTTTGTTATTTTTGAAGGGGGAAAAAACATATATATAATTTTTATTTACATTCAAAAATCCGAACTTTCTTGTATTACCATCTATAATACCGTCCACAACTTTAATTTTTTAGAAGTATCAGTATTTAATGGTTGCGTGCAAAACAAAAATATAAAAGTTATGCATAATTCTTATAATAAAATTTTTATACTAAAATGGCAAATATGTAATCGAGATTAGGCATAACTTTATTTAATTTCTTATAAACATTATTTTAAAAAAAACAGTTACACAGACAAATATTATTTTATTTTGAATTATAAAATATGAAAGAAAATTGTAGATATTTACATTTATACAAAAAGCATGCTTATAAATGATCAGCAATCAATTCTGAATAATATTTCCTTTCGATTTTTCTGTTTTCATTCTTATTATAAGTGTAGAAGCTATTCACTTAGTCATATCTAACCCAATCTTTATAAGAATTACATTAACCCCATAATCCTTTTTAATATTTTTCTTTAAAGTTATACATCAATGGCGTTTTTCATTGTTTTGCCAAAGAGCCTTTGGTAAGCTTCTTTGATATCTTCCAAATCGATTTCGCTTCTACTAACCATAAGTCTTATTAACTTTTGATTTCTAGTACCGGAGCCCTAAAAAAGAATATTTTATATGTCATTGTCAAATGTATGCAAACTTTTAGGGAATCTCTGACTCTCTTGGCATAGTATTCAGGAGGATTATTTATACATTGCACTAAAATAAAGTATAAATTAATGATCTTAAATAAGTTATGCAAACCTAAATGCTGTAAAACCTTTTTGAGTTTCCCAGCTTGACTAAGCTTAAAAACCCTCTCAGAATTGATAGCACTAACAATATCTTTATTGCTATTTTGTTTGTATTTAGCAAAAATCTTTTTTAAATCTTCGTGACTTCTTGTAGTAAATATCTCAGCCACTCCATCTCTTCCATCGATATTCTGGAATCCTTTTGTTTCTAACAACTAATAATTAGAAAGGGGTTAAGTTTCGATTCCATATAATTTCTAATTAAAACTTTTCTTAAGGCCGACATCGTTCACTGCTTAAACTTAATTAAATTCCATATCATTTATTTAAAGTTATATTTAATATTAATAATAATAAATTAGTATTTTATAGGTCATAAAAATTAGTCGATTTTTTTGCATTTTTAATGCCGATAAAAATAGATGTTTGATTTTATATTATAAAATTTTTTTTACAAAGCTATAATAAATCATTGAAAAAATGTAAGTCATACTTTGGCATCTGTGTCAATTTCTTGTCTTGATCTAGGACCCACATTTTGTCCCTTTTATTTTATTTAACAAAATGTGTTTATTTGAAAAAAATTAGTATAAAAATGATTAATATAAAAGGCAATTTTTTGTTTACTTCTGACTTTAAATCGTTTAATCATGATAATTATTAAGCTAAAGAGTAATTATATAAAAATTATTAAAAGAAATGTACCTTATAATTATTTTTAAAAACTCGGATAAGGATCACTTTATATTCATGCCTTATTTTATAAATTGTTCACTTCGATTTATTATTATTATAATAAATAAGAAAGAAAATATGAAATTTATTTAGTTTATAAACCTTACTTTACAAAAAAATGTAACGCTAAATAGCCTGTAGATTTATTAAATTTTTATATTAAAAAGATATCCATTCCATATGTATTTTTTGGTAAACCTTAATATAATTTAGTAAGAGAGTTTTAACTGGCCCTGAAGTGTCTCCCTCGATAGTTTTGGCTAAATCTTTTTTATAATCTAAAAATGGAAAATCAATATAAAAATATAAAATTGAGTAATAAATTTATCATTATCAAGAAAAAATATACGTTTTTGATAAGCGATCTTGACTTTCTCGATTTCTTGAGGAGTCAGCGAACAAAGAGTTTCAGTTAATTCACTTAAATCGGTTCCAGCACCCTATATATTAATGCACAGTCTTATTTTAATTATGAATTATTAAATTATCATGTTATTGATATTTTGGTAAGAATGGTATATTTAAAAAAATGAGAATTATATTTGACAATTCTAAATGATTCCACTCAATTTATTAGAATTATTTTATAAAACGATATAATTTATACCTTGAGAGCTTGATTCAAAAGTTTCGCATGGTATTCATCAGGTGAGTATAGTAGAGCTACTAAAATGTCTTCTGTCGTTCCAGAAAAATCTCCTTTTATTGCCTCTTTTAAACTCTTGAAATTAAAAATATTGATTATAAAATAGTAAATCTATAAAATGTAATACATACAATGGGTTAATTATTGTTATATTATTGTAAATGGGTTAAACTTGACCATACAAATTTTGATATATCTTAGCTATTTCCTGACGTTGTTTGTTAGAACGTTTAGTCATTATATCAATAACTGTTTTTTCATCGGTTCCTTTAAAAAATTATGATTATATGAAAGGTAAATTTGATAAAATCCCTTTTCCATATTTCTCCTCCTGGGGGAGTTAAAATATTTAATTTTTAATATCTATATAACGGTACATAAATGAAGCAAATACATTTCTGAATATAAAGAATTCACGTTCGATGATATTCAGGGGCGGACTGGCGACGCTAAAGCCTCTTGGGCATTTTTATAGCGGCCTCATTTATATGGGAGCAAAGCCCCCATGCCCCTATTTTGCGGGCCTTCGGCTCGCTTTTGCCCGGTCTTCGACCGGGTTCCCTTAAATGGCTTCTTTGATTTACATGATTTTTATTACTTCTTATTTTTTGAAAATAAGTTCAAACGATTTACATTTTTAGTAAAAAAAGAATAGTATTGTACGATAATCATATATTTTATTTTTTAAAAAATGCACATCTCAAATCACATTCATTACCTATATAAAATAATATTCATTGCACGTATTATTTTATATTAGATTTACAACGATATTGCACTATAAAATCAAATCATATATCACATGTTAAATATATAAAAAATAGTGTTGTAAACGAACGCGTTCAAAATGAACGCGTTCATGAACGAAGTTCTTTTTTTTGAAAAAAGGTGATGAACGGCGTTCCTTTTTTTTTGACGAACTTTGAACGTGAACGCGTTCCTTTTCTTTGATGAACGCGTTCAATTTTACGTTCGTTCAATTTTAAAAACACTTTTTATTTTTATTTATTTAAAAAATTAATATTAATCCGCATTTTTTAACAAAATAGTCGTATATTTTTATTTATTTGAAAAATTAATATTTAATCCAATTTTTTAACAAAAAAGTCTTATATTTTTTAATCAGCTGTTTTTACTTTTTCCTCTTTCATATTGCAATTAACGTACCATAACGTGCTACTGCTAGAGAAGATAAGATTAAAGTTTATTAATTTGAATATTTTATATTTTAATTTAATAGATTAGGGTTTGCGAGGATATAAATATTTCATCATCAGATTCTGAAAATAAAAATTCAATATTAGATGAATTAGAATTACCATGGTCCTATCAAAAATATTTCACTGTTTTAAAATCAATTCCGAGATATCCTTTTTTTTGACGAGGAAGAAGAGGGCAGATCATAGCTCAATTTTTTGAGACAATGGATAAAACATTAAATGTTTTTAATAAATTCCCCCTTTTAAAAGAATTGTTTATCAAGTATAACACCGCAATCTCTTCATATGCCCCTGTTGAGCCAGTTGTTAGTATAGCTAACGCTGTATTAACTGCCAAGCGTCATGCCTATCAGATGAAAATTTTGAAAAGCAATTATTATTAAAAATTAATAAGAAAATTTTTTTATAAATTTATTTTTTTATCGCTCTATTATATTTTATTTATAATTATATTATCAAAATAAAACTATTATTTTTTATCATGGCTAATATATTGTGTTGAAAAATATAAGGCATTTATTTATATTAAATTAAATTTTAAAAAAATTTATCATAAAATTTTGAATGCATGAACGCGTTCCTTTTTTTGAATTTGAACGTGAACGCGTTCGATTTTTGTCAATGAACGTTGAACGCGAACGCGTTCGATTTTTTTTAAAATGTTTACAGCACTAATAAAAAATGCATACTCAATATATTAAATTAATTAATTATAAATATAAAATTAGTGCTGTTATACAATATTACAGAGAATAAAATTGCTGCACTTTTATAAAATCAGCACCGATCATATTGTAAATAATATTAAGATTATAATAAAAAAATTAAGAAAATATATAATTTTTACGTTAATAAGTCTCTCATTAACTTTGAACCTTTGCGCAAATATAAAGGAATATCTTATAGTTCAATCTACGCTAATAGTTCTCGTTCAACTGACATCATTAAAAACGCTTCTAATTTTTCTTGGTGAGAATTAGCCTTCAGCTTATTTTTATAATTTTTAATTTACTAAATGCTTTCTCGCAATTAACTTGCGTAACTGATAAAGTTAAAATGTATTCATATGCCAAAAATAAATTAGTGTCACTTAATTTTTCTTGGTGAGAATTAGCCTTCAGCTTATTTTTATAATTTTTAATTTACTAAATGCTTTCTCGCAATTAACTTGCGTAAATGATAAAGTTAAAATGTATTCATATGCCAAAAATAAATTAGTGTCACTTAATTTTTCTTGGTGAGAATTAGCCTTCAGCTTATTTTTATAATTTTTAATTTACTAAATGCTTTCTCGCAATTAACTTGCGTAAATGATAAAGTTAAAATGTATTCATATGCCAAAAATAAATTAGTGTCACTTGTATGCATATTGTATCTTTTAAGAATTTCATACACGCATATTAAACACTTGTTACGTTTATTAACACAATCTGATTTATTATCATTTTGTAATATTCCATCTTCACTTCTAACTTGTACATACGATATCATCGTCCGTTTCATTTAATTCTGCTACCAAATCTTGAATACACTGGCAAATGAACATAATTCGATATGAAATTTAACAGTCAATATATATGCCAATTGTGACAGTTTTTCCAAGGCCTTTTCAGAAATACCTATACTATTTATTTCATCACTTGGATGCAAATATTGCACATTCAAGATAAGCCCTCAATTCGCAGAAAGTAGTTCCGACAAGCTGTTTATAATTTGATCAATTATAGGACGAAATAGTTCAAACCAATAAAGGTCAATCGATTCTTGAGGACGTTCATCTTGGCATTTGTCACTATATATTCTTTTCGCTCATCCTATTCGATCTTTTTACATAGCATTTTGTACTCAGATACTCTCCGGGAGCTATAAATATGAAAATGTTTCATTTATTAGAAGCCATTTTATTGCTTTATTTTGAATCGATGTAATAATCGATGATACAGAAGATTTAGCATCTTCTTTCATTTTCCATGCTGACAAAGTACCTAATTTTTTAGTTTGGAAATATGACAGTGGCCCCATTATTTTAAAAATTTCCAAATATATTATAGCTGTACTTAGAGTCTTAAATTATAAATTATCAAGTTTTTGTCTCAAATTACTTATTATCTATTATAAATTGAAGTGCCTTTATCGTTATTATGAGCACTCTTTACCATATATCCATCTAAGGGCTTTTCACATGACCACTTCTTTATCTCACCTATTTTTTGCAGCCTTCTAAACTTATTTGGCCAGATGAATTATTCTGTTTCACCCAAGCATCCATCCTTTTATCTGATTCACCGACCTGGATTTTATTTGATATCAATGAATTAAGAACAAGAAATGTTGACCATATTATTTCTACAATAAATCAAAGTATAAAAATATAATATAATAAATTAATCAAAACTTAGTTTTAACTCTACTCAAACGGAAGCGTTTTCACTTCATTTGAAAAAAAAAACAAAGAAAAGAACGTGGTAATGATGTGCAGCGTCAAGCGACGTTATTGATATATTATGCATTAAAATATAGTAAACGATATGATAATTCTTAAGGAATGTGATATTCAAATCATAGAGATATCATTAAAAATAAATAAATGATAAGAGAAAATAATGTGAACATAATAATATTTTTTTCTAATCGGCCTCTATTTTGATATTTTCCACTGATCGGCCTCAAAAATCGACATTTTCTCGCGGCCTCGTGGGCGAAATGCCCATTTGGTCTTATTACCAGTCAGCCCCTGATGACATTTAAAGCAGTAAGATAATTTATAATATTTACCTATTCCTTTCATAGCTTTATACAATTTATTGGCATCATCTTGTGCATTGAAAGGCGAATAATCACGAATGGTACCTCTAAAAGCCATTCTTGCACCTACTCCCCGCCCTTGAGAATCTAAGGGATCATCAGGTTCATATCGCTAAATTATTTTATAAAAAAAAAAGCAAATATAGTGTAATAATCTGATTTGATTTCTAGTTCCTTGTACAAAAGTATAAGGAAATATTTGAAATTTTTGCAAGGATTTAAATCAAAATAAAATATATTACCCTTTGAGCTCCAACGATTCCGATTATAAGTATAAGATTGATCAGTTGGAAGGCTCTATACAAATCACGCATTTATTTCTAAACGAAATATCATAATATAACATACATTTTGAATATATACGGCCGATTAAATTAAAGATTATAATATTATACAGAGGTAGCCATTACCAACCACCATATTATAATTTGATAGTTTCATGCAAAAAAATGAAATAACTTAATATTACCTTTCGTCAAAAATTTGATAAATTTCCTGATTATGATTTGTATAAGATCGGACAAATTGATATGACAAATATTTTTTTTTAACTTCTCATTATGATTTATTACATTTTCAAGGTCAACAATATTGATAAATTTTCTAATGTCAATCTTTCAATAATTTTTTATAAATAATAATCATATTTTTAATTCATATTGAATTATCTTTATCTTTTTCCAAAAATAATATTTAGTAATATAATCGCTTAGATCAGTCAAGGTTATAAAAAAAATATAAAAAAATTAGCCCATTCCTTATAATATTTAAAATTAATTCACCCCAAAAGATAAAATAATTTTAAAATATTTACCATTAAATGACAGGCAGGTTATTTATAACCCAATAATAAATTCTAAATAATTTAAGCATTATTAGGACCATTTTGTACAATATTTTTAGGCTCCTTGCAAATATTCTTATTATAAAACCCAAACCTTTATGCCCGTTGATCAAAATTTGGAAATATATTTGCGATCTAACAATACAACTGAAATAAATATGCATCGTTTATTGTTTATGTAATACGATTTTTTTGAAAACAAATGTTTTAATAAGTTATTGTATTAATAAATAAATATTTATATTTTAACAAAAAAAGAGAATATGAATCAATTTTAATTTTATTAAAAAAGAAGGACCGGGGTTGGTATGAATCTTCTTAATTTTTTAACGTAATATATCATTTTCAATTGTGTATAATATAATATAAAAAATGTTTTTATAATCCAATCCAAAATATGATTTTTCTAACAAAAATTTTTATTTTTAAATTTTAAGCTTTTTTAAAAAATACTCCCTTTTTATTGGAGGTTTTCATGATTCATCAATTTCCCATGATGAGCTGACAACCATTATAATACGAAGCCAAATATTTAGTTTTAAGGAAAAAATAAATCAGCATATGGTACCTCAGTGATTTATTTATTTTTTGTAAGCAACCATAAGGAAGAAAGAAAGAATGAAAGAAAAGAAAAGAAAAGAAAAGAAAAGAAAAGAAAAGAAAAGAAAAGAAAAGAAAAGAAAAGAAAAGAAAAGAAAAGAAAAGAAAAGAAAAGAAAAGAAAAGAAAAGAAAAGAAAAGAAAAGAAAAGAAAAGAAAAGAAAAGAAAAGAAAAGAAAAGAAAAGAAAAGAAAAGAAAAGAAAAGAAAAGAAAAGAAAAGGAAGGAAGGAAGTAAGGAAGGCAAAAAAAGTAAATCAGAAAATTTTTTACTTTGAAAAAAAAAATTGTGCATTATTTAAAAAAATTATATTTCAGAGCTTAAGCTAAATCAACGAAAGTCAATCTATCTCCTCCTAGTATATGTCTATAAAAAAATTAATTAAATAGTGAAGGTTATTTATCTTACAACGATATCCTTTTAAATTATTCTTGATGATAAGTTTTTAGTTTTGTCATATGAGAGAAAATTAGGAATAGATTAATTGTATATATATATTATGTGTATATATATAATATTAGTGTATTGTTAGGTTAAATTATTAAGATTTACTACTCTTTGAAAAAAAATCGGGCCGTAAGTTTAAAAAAATAAAACCGGGCCGGGCATAAAAATTTTTTACAAAATCCTATCTGGGCCTATTCTAAAAAATATCATGTATATTAATCAGTAGGGTCATATAAGGGAGCATTTAATATTCATTTAATGATCATATTTATTTATTTCCTTTGAAATAATTTACAAAATACAATCAAAAATATTCAAATTAACAAAATTAAAACGGGCTCCGTAAAATCAGAAATACAAAATCCGTATCGAAAACAAATATCTTATAAACCCGGGCTGGGCTTGAAAATAAATTTTTTTTTACATCCATGTAGGGCTGAAATTTAATATTTATTTAATTACATTCTATAAGTATAATAGTTTAAATTTATAACCACGAATATATATAAAACAAACTATCAAAAATTTCGGAATGTGAAAGAATTATTTTAGAATATGAATTAAATTAATTCTTCTCATTTATAATGTATGCATTATTATTTTGGCATAAATATGAGTTTGCTGATAGAATGTCTACTTTAAAATTACATTTAAAATTATAGCAGAAAATCAGAAATAAGTTTTATTTGCAAAATAATGACTATGATTGTAAGTACGCAAATTTGGTCGATGTTTAGCAATATATGTATTAGTGATCTGCGGGGCTAATTTTCCAAGCCCGGCCCGAACCCAAAATTTTTTTAAAAAAATTTACCGACCAGGCCGGGCCCAAATTTATTTAAATATAGAAATTAATTTTTATAATTACTCAAAATAAAAGACATATGTTATATGTCGTTTAGTTTCAATAAATAAAATCAAATATTTTTATTTTATATAAAAAATTCAATATAAAATTGATAAATTTAGATATATTTAAAAAAAATTCCATAGTCCGACCAGACCCAGCCTGAATTTTTTTTAAAAATATTAGGCCCGGCCGTACCCGAACCCGATTATTTTAAAGGGCCGGGCCTAACTTTGCAGATCTCTAATATGTATATTATAATAGGTCTATAATAAAAGTATTAAATAAATAATCACAAGAGTATTTTATACCATTTCATATAAAAATTGATAACCCTCTAATAAATATATCCTACACCAAGCCTATCATCCTTAAATGCCTACCCCTTATCCCTGTCAACAAATTTGAAGCAAACCCCCTTCCCCTCGTCAATTGTTTGCTAGATCTAAGGGTTGAAATATCCATTTGAATAAACTTACGTTAAAGATAAGCTGTAATATAAATTCTTGAGTTCAGAAAAATAAGTTTAAATGAAATAAGCAGGACCATTTAACAATAGTTTTTAAGATCGTCGTACCCAAATAGTTATAGCAATTTTAATTGTTCTCGCTGAAGTTGGAACTATCGAAGAAATTTAAATTTTCCAGCATTAAGGAATTGTTGGTCTGTAAGGTATTGTAAAAATAAAAAACGAAACATTTCCATGTATACACCAGTGTCAAAGTGGGAAGAATCAATTTTGACTCAATGATGGGCCATATACGTGAATTAGGATCCACTATAATCAATCATAAATAAAATAATAAATGCAGTTTTACTAAAAATTTAATAAAAGCTTTCGCAAGCTTTATTCATTTTATGGAGTTAGAGATATTATAAGTGCTCTTAAGTAAAATGGTAGAATGATCTAAAAAAGAAATCTCCTCAAAAGAAGTGTCCTTATTGATTGGACTAGAAAAAAATCTAATTTTTTAGGCATTAGAAGGAATCAACAAATTATGTGAATATGCTAGTATTTAAGCAATATTTTTCAAAAATTAAAGATGAAAATCTCAGGAAATATCATATCATAGCTTAAAGAAAATATGGCAAATATTGACAAGTAATTTCATTAATTATGGCTTATTATCAAGGTAAAAACTTTGTAAATTTATGCCCCCATATCTAGACTTGCACCAAGACAAGACGATTTTTGAAATATTAATGTAGTATCAATGGAAGAATATTATAAAATAAACCTCTATTACCTTATATAATTTTTTTTAAGTTAGATAAATGAAAGTTAGTTTTTTGCTACATCAAGCAGCCCATATAAATCGAAGACTATTTTCCTATCATATTAAAATTAATAAATATTTAATTAACAAATACTTTTTCTTCAAATAAAAACTTTCAAAAATACTTATAGGAATTTAACACCAAATACTGATGAGATCATTAAAAAATTCGCTTAATTACAAAGGAGATTATATATGTTATTCATAATTAACTTCCCCGTTTAAAATGCCATATATCTTATGAATATTTTTATGCATTAACCCAATGACATTAAAACTATAGACTGCCGATTAAAGTATTTGAAGTGGCAAAAATTGAATTGAGTAGCGGCCATTTTGTGTTTGGATCATTTATGTAAGAAACATATGATAATTTCATAAATTTCAGGTTTATTTTTATTTAGAGACTCTATCTATTGATATAGCTTGTATTCAAGAGACTCATTGGACGGAAGCTAACAATTTGTTTTGTAGGGGCTACATAGTATTTAATTCTGGTAAGCCAAATGAAAAATGGTCTGGTGTAAGCATTATAGTAAAGCAACATTTATCTCGTTATATAATTAAATTTGAGGCTATAAACAGTAGATTGTGTAGTATAAAATTAAAAACTAAATGTAGAATCCTAAATATAGTGAATGTTTATATGCCAGCCCAACATGCAGGTAGGAAGACTTTCTTCCCTTTTCTTTCTGAGTACCTACACTCGTTTCCTAAACGCGAAAATCTCCTGATTGCTGGTGATTTCAACGTTAAGTCGTCTGGGTATCAGAAATCAGATATCATTGGGTCCAGGTGCATTAGATATCAAAGCAGATATTGGAGGTAGGATTTTATTAGATTTATGCCATAAATTAGGCCTTCAAATAACGAATACTTTCTTCCAACACCGAGATATTAGTGATTCATTAACTTATTACAGCCCTTCATATCATATTAGTTCGCAAATTGATTATTTTTTAAATAGTCGGCAAACCAGCTCTTGGATTACAAATGTTAAAGTTATCCATCATGTAATGTTCAATTCAGATCATAAGTTCCTTGTTTGCAACATGGTTATTGACCCAGAAGTTTGGTACAGGAGAAAAAAATCTAATCACAAGTTAAATAATAAAAAGTCCAATTTAGACATCGAAGCTCTTAATGATCAGAATATGAAGGATAATTTCATCAAACGTGTACGGGAAAACTATTTTAGTCAGAGAGATTCCTTCCTTAAGTTACCTATTGATCCTTTATGGGAGATTACTCGTAGTATTTTTACTGAGGCCGCGGCAAAGACTTTACCTAGAAGAGGTGACTTCCCGGATTGGATTTCTTCGGAATCGAAAAGTTTAATAGTTAATTTAAAAGGAAAAGGTCATTACAGGAGTAATAGGGCGAAATATATTTTAGAAGATATCAGCCATAAATTAAGGAGAGACAAGAGAAAGTACTTGGAACGTTGTGCTGTGCATATTAGTAACTTGTTCAATACTAACGATACATTCAAAGCCTTTAGACTGCTGAGATATTTTACTTCGGGTTAGAAACAGCGTATATATAAACTTTGGCACCAGAATAACCTGATAACTGATACCGAGTCTCAAATGAACATTTGGTACTCCTATTATACTAGTATGTTCGAAAGTTATGAGAGTTTAAATGGTAATATAACTAATGAATCCTTTGTCGATATAGGCCCTTCAATTTCCAAACATTGTCGCCGACGATCCTCGACCCCAACTTATCATGATGTAGATATAAAAACACTACACGATTCTAATCTATATGATAAATCTAAAAATAGTAGGGTGACAATTAAACGTTCACAGATACAACATCATCTACCCTTCCAGCGTAATAATTATTACGTCGATAACGATCTATCACATCAATATAATTTACTTGATTAATCTCCTACCACTTCGAAAGTTTGGCCTCCATCAACTCTTTTTTTCTCTAGTTATGATAATTCTTATTCCGATAATCATGACAACATTATTCAATCTAAACATAATCTTAACTCACATCACTTACTGGATCAACTTCCTTCTACTTCGAATGTTTGGCCCCCACGAACCTTAACTAATGCTCAACAAAGTCTTGACTCACATCAATTACTGAATCAACTTCCTTCTACTTCGAATGTTTGGCCCCCACGAACCTTAACTAACGCTCAACAAAGTTCATCCATAGCCCAAACTTTTATCGATACATTGAATGATCAACACCCCTCTACTTCGAAAATTTGGCCCCACAAGTTAGTTTAAATAATATTCAACAAAGATTAACCTTTAACGATATCTCGAACAGTCAGTTTCCATAAAACCAACAAAGTTCATTTACATTACAATCTCCATCAAAGGATGCCAGGATTTTCCACCCAACTAAAGCTGAACTAGTTGGAATAATTAAAAAACTGAAGAATCATAAAGCTTGTGGTCAAGATTTACTATATAGTGGATACCTGAAGACTGACTCTAGTTTATGTGCAGAGATTCCTCTCCCTATTATATCCAGAGTTTGGTTTGAACGGTTGTGTCCGAATGATTGGATTACTGCCACTTAATTTCCCTAAAATGAAAGATCCCAAATTTCTTGAAGATTGGAGAGGAATATCACTAAACTCGGTGGTATGTAAAATATTTGCAAATATTATATTAAATAGGCTAAGACCGCTACTTGAACCTCTTTTTATAGATTCCTTGGTCTCGTTTAGGAAAGGCAGAAACACTTTAGAGGCGATTCTATCAGTAAAAATTCAACTAGAGAGAGCATTAATTCGGAAGAGTCAGTTAATTATTGTGGCCTTGGATTTTAAAAAAGCTTTTGATTCGATAATACTCTCAAAACTTTGGAGGACATTAGAGGAGATAGGTACCCCGATTGTTTTGGTAAGTTTGTTGGAACTAATTTATAAAGATTATTCAATGCATATTATTCATGCTGGCCGCAAATCTCCCAAAATCCCGATAATGAAGGGTCTGAAACAAGGTTGTGTTCTATCGCCTCTCCTTTTTAACTTTATTACAAATCATATTATTTTTAAAGTTAGAAATTTACATTCGGCTCAGTGGTCCTTAGGAGATTTAAATATTATCGCTTTCGCAGATGATTTATGCCTTGTAGGTAAATCGGTGTCAGACGTCCAATCAGTTATTAACAGTATCATTGTAGAGGCGGGACACTTTGGTCTAACACTAAATAAAGAAAAGACGAAAATGATGACATCGTTTTATACTTCCTCGCAGGCGACTCTAAATATTGATGGTAATACGATTACAGAAGCGGATATTTTAAAATATTTAGGGGTTATATTGGATAAGAAAGGTGGTACAAAGAAAGATCAATTCTCTAAATTGAATAAAACTAGGGTAAAATACAGGTCCTTGATGAAGATTTGGTCATCTAGGCAAATATCTACTTCTTTAAAGATAAGACTCTTTAAAGTCTTAATATTAACTTCCTTATACTATGGTATGGAAACCTGGAACGATAATATATCAGATAATAACAAGATGCAAGTTTTTATAAACAAATGTTTAAGATATTTAACTAGGACCTTTTATCCGCGAAACACTACAAATTATATGTTATGGGCGAGTTGCGATATCCTTCCAAGTCATAAAACAATAGAATATAAGAAAATTGAGTTGGTGGGCCATATTTTGAGACACCCCTTGAATAATTTAATCCATCAGGCACTTATAGATCAATCACCTGAAGACTCTGCTCTTAAACCTTTTTTATCCCATAAAAGCAGTTGGTTTGGGAGAATTCTAAGATCTTGACTGAATTAGATTTATCTTGGGATTTCCTAAAGAGAGCTTCGATTGACAGGAAAGTCTTCAAACATATTTTGAGACTTATATATGAACATATGACGAATACTTGCTGAAGATTTATATATCTTGTAAGGAGTTTCCCAAGGGAATCTCATCATTGGAACTAATATCTTAGAGTTCAAGCCTCTGTTTTAAAGTAATTAAATTGTTTTTAATTATTGGTGATTAAATTAAACCATATTTTAAAGGACATAAGTTAATTAGTAAAGATATGGAGTTGTTTTGGTTATTTAATAAATGGATAATGGCAATGTCCCTTAGAAATACTTAACTTAAATTAATTTTTTGTATTTGGAAGATTTTCTTTTATATGACTTTCTATTTTTATTCTACTTCTCATTATAACTTACTTATATTTCTATTTCCTGCTAATTTTAAACTTGCTACTCTATTGGTAGAGGGTTTAGTTCCACTCATAAATTATTTTCTGGGTAATAGGTTTGTCGGTATCCTGAGAAAAAAATCGGCTAATTATATGAAGGATAGGCCTTCATATAATTCACGTTCGCTCATTTTGGGCAGGTCTGTGACCAACTTGCAAGATAAGATATATTATATTTAAAATCTTATTTTTTTTACTAGATGAATAAAAAACATTTTATAAAACATTTGCAGTTTATTACTTAATGACTATCTTTAATATTTTATATAGACTAATCAATATAAAATAAAATCTGTATAGTAATAAGAATATATTTAAAATTTTGTCATTTCTAGAGAGGTAAGGATTAATTGTTTTCTTTATAACCTCATGAATATCTTTAAAATTTTTCAAATATATATCTTATCAAGTTAAAATGAATATTTTTTATAAGAATTAATTTTATATTTATATATTCAATAACAAAAATCAAAGTGAGGAAAGATATATTATGATTTGAAATTTATTATAGAATTTAATATATTTTTTATATTTTAAGTAAATGATAATATATTGTAGTGCATATGGCTGTAACCAAAAATATTGTTCAGGAAGCAAAATTTCCTTTCATAAGTATGATATCTCAAATTAAATATTCAGAATTAAATCTAAAGATGAAGCTTATATTAATAACCTATTTTATCTTGTAAAAATTATTATGTCAGATTTGCTATGAAAATATTTAACATGTGATTTGGAATTTTAGAAATTACTCCAAAAACAAATGAATATATATGATTTTTTTGATAAATATTTTGAATTATATAAAAAAAAATTGATATAATTTCTTTTGTATTTATTTTTTTAGCAAATAAAAAGAGGTTATATTTTATAATTTATAAGTCTTTTTATATTTTATTTTTGCTTTGAATTATGTTATTCCTTAATAATTATAACTATCCATTTCTAAATATATTTATTAAAATTTAATTCACAAAAGTACAAAAATCAATAATGAATATGTATATTGTGAAAAATAAAATAATCTTATAAATTTTTACAATAATAAATACAAATAATATATATATGTTATATTATTTCTAATAAAATAAATATATTATTATAACTAAAAGTATATGGTATAAAGTGTTGTTTTTTCTTACAAATAATCACCATAACTTTTCCTTGACCTATAAATATTTAAGTTAAATAACATATTTTTATAATACTTGATTTATGCCCTTGAAAAAGTACAGTTCGGTTAAATTTTTGCCTAAAATCTAATTTTTGATTACATTAGGCAATAATCAAAACAGTATAACCATAAATGTTTTTATTCATCTAGTAAAAAAAAATAAGATTATAAATATAATAAAAATAAAAATAAACCTGAAATTTATGAAATTCTCATATGTTTCTTACGTATAAGCTCCAAACACAAAATGGCTGCTACTCAATTCAATTTTTGCCACTTCAAATTTGATTTTAGCATTACGATCGGCAGTCTGTAGTATTAATGTCATTGCATTAACCTATATTTTAAATTTTTTAAATATAGTGCCACATTTTTTCATATAGTTGAATAATATATTCATTTTTAGCAGATTCAAAAATGGTTAAAACAAATTTTTACAAAAAAATTATTCTTATACTATTAAGGGTTATCAGTTTTTTATATCAACCAGTAGCATCACTGGCTAGGGGCGCTTAGGGGCTCGAGCCCCCTAAAAAATTTGAATATCCCCTTAAGCAAATTAATTTTTTTTTAATGGCTCCTTAATATCCCCTTGAACTAAAATAAATTTATTTGATTGCCCCCTGAACGATTTCTTTTATAATTCTATAAAGTAATATATAGATTTAATTTTATTATTTAAAAGTTAATAAACTATCTAAATTTTTATTAAATACTATTTTAATTATTAGATTAGATTAATACATATAAATTTTATTTTCACTATGTCAGCTTGCAATCATATTCTGTATTAAAAATAGAATGTCAATGTCACTCACTAAATATTAATTTAACATTAACAGTTGAAGCTTAATTGACCCTTATTATTTAAATTATTATAAAACTCTAATTAAATAAATATAATCATTTATTAATTGAAAATTAACAAATTAATATTGTAATTAGCCGAGTTCAAAATCACTAATGAACTATATTATTCTTTTTTAAATTTAATTACCATGCCTTTTCCTAAAATATTTTCAAGGTCCAAATAAGTATAAGAGATTTCTTTATAAAAAGTAAGTAGATATATAGTTCATAATCCTCTATTATATATAATTGATTATAAAATATTAGGTAAAATGTCACTTTTACGTATTTGACAGTTATATAATATATTACAGTTAATATTTTAATAAATTTTACTAATAAATGCTTTTGATAATAAATATAAAGTAACAATTTACATTTATTTCTTTAACACCATCTATTTATTTAAAAATATTTTTAAAAATTAAACATCTATATTATAATTTTCCGATGTCCTCACTATATTATCGTGACGTCATGTCATCGCTATGTCATGTCATCGGTACATTTATTTTTTTTAAACGTAAATAAAAAAAAAAATTTTTTAAAACTGGATAAAAAAAAGGTATATATTATTTTTTAAAGTAAATAAATTTTTTAAAAAACGATAAAATTACATTTTAGATTACATCTGTTTTAGCTTTACCAATATCTGAAGATAATTCCACAATTCCTAGAGAGTTGATACTAATATTGACTCCTATGCATGTTCAGTGCATTATTATTTTTTATATTTATATTTTGTTTTTATTTTAGAAAACACTTCTTAATAGCTAAGAGAATTTTGGTTAATCTATCATTGCCAAACAAAGAAAGAGATGGCTGTTATGAGCATCCAAAGATCACGAAGTCCAAAATTCTACCAACAATAAGTTGGTAAATTATAATATATATATATATACACTAAAAATGAATATATATTTATTTATTTTTATAAGTTTTTATAATTTTCTAAACATGTTTTACGTATACTTTCTTACATTTTATATTACATCTGTTTTAGCTTTATCAATATGTGATGATATTCCAACAATTGCTGGAGAGTTGAACCTAATACTTATACTTTCTTACATTTTAGATTACATCTGTTTTAGCTTTACCAATATCTGATGATTCCCATTATTGCTAGAGAGTTGAACCTAATATTGGCTCCTCTGCAGGTTCAGTGCATTATTGATATTGATATTTTGTTTTTATTTTAGAAAACAGGCCTTGTCTTGACCCCTCTATTGTACTTTTGATTTAATAAGTCATTGCCAAACAAAGAAAGAGATGGCAGGTTAATCATCCGTCTTTATTAATTTACTTTACATGTTCCCTTTTCTTTCTATTTTCCTTCCTTTTTCTTCATATTTACCTTTCCCTTTTAATTACTCTCTTATTATCTTCCCCTTTCTTCTCTTTCTCTTTCTTTTTTCCTTTTTCTTTACCTATTTTTATTTCCCATTTTCTCTTTTCCTTTACATATTTCATTCCCTTTTTCTTCCGACCTTTTTCTTTTTCTTACCATTTTTCTTTTTTATACCTTTTTTTTTCTTTTCCTGCTCCTTTAGCTTTTCGCCTTTTCTCCCTTCCTTCCCCCCTTTCTTTACCTTTTTCTTTTCATTACCATTTTTCTTTTCCTTTTATCTTTATTTCCCCTTCTCTTTTCCTTTCCCCTCTTTCCTTTTAATTTCTTTTCCATATTCCTTATTTCTCTTCTCCTCTCCCTTCTCTTTCCTTTCCCTTATAATTTCTCTGATTACCTTCCCCTTTCTTCTCTTTTCCTTTCCCTTCTTTCTCTTTTCCTCTCTTATTCTTCCTCTTTTTTCTATTTCCCTTTTTCTTTTCTCTCCCATTCCCCTTTTCTTACCCTTTCCCCTCTTTCCTTTTTAATCTCCTTACCATAATCATTTATATTTTCTTTTTTTTTCATTACACTTTTTCATTTCCTTTCTTTTCCATTTCCCCTTCTCATTCCCTTCCTTCCTTTTTCTTCTCTTTTCCTTTTTTCTTTATTCCTTCCTTTCCCTTTTTATTTCTCCTATTACCTTCCTCTTTCTGCTCTTCTCTATTCCTTTCCCTTTCCTTTCCCTTTCATTACCAGTTTTATTTTCTTTTTTCCCTTTCCCTTTTTTAATTTCCTTTCCACATTCCTTTTTTCTTTCTCTTTTCCTTCCTTTCTTTTTTAATTTCTCTTATTACCTTTCATACTTTTTTAATTTCTCTTATTACCTTTCATACTTTTTTAATTTCTCTTATTACCTTTCCTTCTTTCCTTTTTTTTTCCTTTCCATTTAAATTTATCTTATTATCTTCCTCTTTCTTCTCACTTCCTTTCCCTTCTCCTTTTCTTTTATTACCATTTTTCTTTCTTTTTTTCCTTTTCCCTTTTTAATTTCCTTTGTACATTCCTTATTCTCTTTCTTTCTCTTTTCCTTACTTTCTCTTTTAATTTCTCTTATTACCTTCCCCTATCTTTTCTTTTCCTTTCCCTTCTTTCCTTTTTCCTCCCTTTCCCTTTTAATTCCTCTTATTACCTTGCCTTTCCCTTTTTTTCTTTTCCTTGTACCTTTATCTTTTCCTATACATACTTTCCCTTTTCCTTTCGCTTCTCATTTCACCTCCTTTTTACCTTTCCCTTTTCCTTCCCATCTCCTTTTTTCCCTTACCCTTAAAAATTTTAAATCTCGCATATATCTTCTAACTATTTTAAAAGTAATATTGAAAATAATATTAATAGTTGCTAGGAAGTAAACACTTATATTCAAAATGATTACTTATTTTTCTCATTTTTAGCAATTTTTTAAAAAAATAATTTAAATACAAGAATTTACTTTAAGCATCTATTAATATTATAAGCAGGATTCCCAATTTTTTTTATTTTTAGCTATTTTTATTTTAGCGATTTAGAACAGGCCCATGATGATGAGAATATTATTTTAAGATCCAAATGTCTTTTGCACCAATATATCGTGGACAGTTATGCCAAACAGAAAATTCTTCGATTAAATTATAGTAATCAGCCCGAATTACACGCAGAACTCTATCAAAGCATTCATGATGCTATTTTAGGGAAGGATTCTAATGCTGACACTCTTGACAAAAGTAACAAACATATTGTCTTTTTTTACCCGTGGCCCAAGGCTTATGCATCAGCTTTATCAGGATGCGATGGTTATTATACGCTGCTTTGGTAAGACCTCATTATTCATTACTTTCACCTGCAACCCTAAAGGATGCAATTATGCTTTAATTATTTCTTCATCAGATTCCAAACGACCGCCCATATTTGTCGCTTTTTTGTCAAAAATTAAAATGTATTTAAAAGGATTTGCTCAAAATTTAAACAGATACACGCCTATAATAATTACTCCTCATCATTTTTTAAAAATTATAAATAAATTGTAATTGTTTTATTAATATTGAATGCATATTTTTAATTTAAATAAATAGCATTTTTTGTTTCTTAACAGGAAGATATGGCCCTTATCATTCTTTGATAAATAATTTCGGAAATTCAAGATATACAATAAATTTATCTGAAAAACAACAATAAGCCAATGGAATAAACAACAATTTATTTTTTAGATATAATTTTAATTAATCATAATACAAAAAAGTATAATAATCATCTTTTTATATATAAAAACGTGAATAAAATAAATATATTGACTGCATATTAAATAGGGCTAGAAATCAACATTAATTTTTTTACAGGATAAAATATTATTTTTATTCACGGATAACAAATAATGATGCAAACATTAATCATTCATCATTATAAAAAATCAATCTGTAGAGTTGTTGCAGTGGACGTAATTCTAATCCATATTTTTCTCCATAACTTAATTTTTTGGGGTTATCTCCAATAAAACGAGGTAAGATTTGTTATTTCTTATAAAAATATTAGGAAAGACCTGATTTTGTCAGGATTCTCTATTAAGAGGTGTGCCCAGGGTTTTTAAGTTTCCCTATTACGTATTAACAGGTTTTTTGTATTTATACTAGGAGCTAACCTGTAGAATGTCTGGTGAATCAGAGATTTCCCCTTCATTTGATGATAAATTAATTAGAAATTTAACTATATTCTGGTTTGGGAAAAAATTTTCAAAATTATTATGAAGTTGGGCTGGGCTTGGAAAATATTCATCAAAATTAATATGGGCTTCGACCTGGCTTGGGAAAATCTTTTACAAAATGTTATGGGCCGGGCTTGGGAAAAAGTTTTTAAAATTATTATGGGTTGGACCAGGGTTGAGAAATAATTTTCAAAACTATTTTGGGCTGGGATTGAGAAATATTTTTCAAAATTATTAAGGTATTGGAAGCTTGAAATTTTTTAATATTTGCAGGCCTGGGCAGGGTCTGATCGAAAATCCATGAAGATCTCTGATTCTGATAGTTAATTGCATTAATATTTTTTTTAAATTTTATTTTAGTTCTGAACTACCAAAATTATTATGGTCTTAAATCGGGCTTGGAGAAATTTTTTCAAAATTATTGTCAACTTGGACCTGGCTTGGAATTTTTTAATATTAAATATTACCCATAGGTAATCAAAGAATTTTGATATGGGTCTCAAGTAAAAGCTAATTTAAATATATTTTGACTCAAAAATATCACTCTTAGTCTTAAAGGATTGGACTTGGCCTGAAGGGTAGAGGGAGGGGGTGAAGAGAATAAAAATTGGATATGAGTTTTAGCGGTAACATATTTCGAAGAACGAAAAAAATTCTCATTCCCCGTCATTTTCGACGGGCTATCTACAAGTCTTATTAATCATCCACAATGGATGAAATAAATTAGATATATTTTCTTCTCTTTTTTTACGTGTTTTTAAGAAAGCTATTTTTTTCTTCTTTAAAATAACAGTTTTGAGTTAAATATTTAATACGAGTATATTTTTGATATTATTTTAAACTACTATCATTTTAAGATATAATATACCAACGAGAGATGGTGCGACAATATTTATATATAATCCTCAAAAAATGTCAATCAAATTTAGCCAATAGTTTTCTTTTAAATATTATTTGTCCAATCAAAATGATTATAGCAGTCACAGTCACAACTGTGACATTATATAGTCAATTATTTTACCTGATAATAGTCAATTATAATTTTGTTAATATATTATGTAATATTCAACTTCTTTATTAATTATTGGACGTATGTCCTACTTAAATAGGGAGTGATTCTTAATAATATTTAATTAATATTAACAAATTCGGAAGTATTTAAGTTATGTTAAATTGTAGTTTTAATCTCCATGATATTTAGCGCCATCTATAATATTATATTTTATTTTAAATAGCATTATATTTCTAAGTTGAAATGTAAATATTTTGTCTTAATTGATGTCAAATATATTGTTCTTTCTATATATCTATAATTTATCTATCTATCTATCATAGCAATTTTAAGCCAATTTAGATCATATTAGCAAAATGGATTTAATCTCCTATAAATCATGGAAAGCATTTCAGAAGTATTTTGAGGCAATAGGCAGGAAGGAACATTAGTATGAAAAAAATGTTTGCAGATAATCCTACAAGAGCTAAGGAATTCAAATCTATAATATATATATTCAATATAGCTTAAACATATCAAACACGCATTCATAAACCAAATCGAACCGCCATTTTCAAAAAAAGAATTTCAATACAAAAAACAATTACAAAACATATAATAATATAATAATTACAATAATTGATATTTTTTTTAACAGACACAACATCGAGCAATACCTTCAATCATCAGTAAATAATTATATTTTTTAACAGACACCACATCGAGCAAAACCATATACTTTCAATTTACACATCTTAATCTTGAAGATACTGAAAATCAAGAACAAGTTGAACATTACATATACTTACGTTTTATCTGAGCATCTTATTTTATATTTGAAAATTCATTTATCTATTCTATTTTACCCACGTTAAGTGGCAGATTTAGGGAAGTTAAAATTTTTATAAATACTATTTTTTAGATTCCTGCACAAAAAACAAACTTACATAATAAATACATATAATATTAGATAAGTTTTTTAAGGTTATCTCATAGGCAATGTAAGTTAAAATTTTTATAAATACTATTTTTTTAGATTCCTGCACAAAAAACAAACATACATAATAAATACATATAATATTAAATAAGTTTTTTAAGGTTATCTCATAGGCAATGTAAGTTAAAATTTTTATAAATACTATTTTTTTAGATTCCTGTACAAAAAACAAACTTACATAATAAATACATATATTAAATAAGTTTTTTAAGGTTATCTCATAGGCAATGTAATTTAAAATTTTTATAAATACTATTTTTTTAGATTCCTGCACAAAATACAAACTTACATAATAAATACATATAATATTAAATAAGTTTTTTAAGGTTATCTCATAGGCAATGTAAATTAAAATTTTTATAAATACTATTTTATTATTTTTTTTAGATTCCTACACAAGATACCATTCAACAAAACCAAACAATGGAACTTTTCATACTACCAAAATCTAAAGAAGGCATTATTGCTTCAACAAGAGTAAATTTTATATTTTTAAGATGTGATTCCGAAATATATATTTTGAGGGGCTATTCTAATATTTTCCATTATTTTTTATAAATATGTTTATGAAGTATATATTTAGTAATTTTATTTTATGTCCAGAATAATAAATATTTTAAACTAAACTTATTTTTATAAAATTGAGTAATTCTTATATTTTTAAATTTTAATAATAAATCAACATAAGGAGAAAGCTAGAAAGAGACAGGCACTCTGTCGTATCAAGAAAAGGAACGAGCAAAGTCTTATTCCTACAACATCCAACCATCTTGAAGATACTGGAAATAA